GGCGCTGCGCAGGCGGCCCTCCGCGAGAACCTGGACACCGCGTGAGGTCCGTGTTGCGCCAGGCGCGCCCGAGAGGCCGCTCCGCCAAGCCGGGGAGGCCGGCCCGGCAGGCCGCGGACCGGGCCGCGGGGCTCCGGAAGAGGCGCGCGCCTTTCAGCTCGGAACGCGCTGCGGCCGGAGAGCGGCTCTCCTCCGAGCCCGGGCTCGGTTCGCCGCCCCTGCGCATTCCTTCGCGCAGGCCAGGAACCTGCCCTGCCGCGTGTCTGGGGTGCTTTGGGCGCTCCCGCCGCCTTCTCCCCCGCCCAGCCAGAAAGCGCTCCCCTCCGGCGCCGGCGCTGCCCGTGCAGCGGAGGACTCCTGCCCTTAGCCGGCTTCCTGGCCTTTCGGAACGGGGAGGCGGGGAAGGGCGCCGTCCCCGTCCTCGTCCTCCCCAGGCTGACGCTGCTCGGGCGGGCAAAGAGCGCTGGGCCGCCTGGAGCGCCCGCTCCGGCGCGCGAGGCCTTGTCAGGGCAGGCGGCGGGCTCGTTCTCAGACTCGGGCAGAGCCAGGGCTGGGCTGACAGCCCGGTAACGCAGCCCCGGAGAACGCGGAGGGGCCGGGAGAGGCCCGAGTGCGCAGGCGGCCTTTCGGAGGGAAGCGAGGCGCGTGTCCGCCGCTTGAGGCCTGGCCATGGCCTGAGCAAGCAGCCGGGCACGCAGTTCCAGGTGGGCCGCTAGCCGGATCCCACCGATCCTGCGCGCAAAGGCGAAGGGGCCGAGCACACGAGGAGAGGAGCTCGGGACGTCGGTGCACTCGACTCGATCCAGTGGGGAACGGAGGTCACGGACCCCGCGAAGGATCCGCCCCCGCCCCTCAGCTCCCCGCAAAGTGTATTTTCTCCCTCTCCAAATTTCCGCAGAGGAGCCGGCGCCCCTTTTGAAGTGTAAATGCCCCGAGTTGGGAGGTGAGCGATGAATGGCGGGGACAGGAGACTCTCTTTGAAAAAGAGAAAGAAGATTCATTTAAGTAAAACGAGGGGAAGCAGCGAAGCCTGACAGGCCGCGAGCTGACCGGGGAGTGTTCCCAAAGATAACAGAGGCGGAGGGGCGGGGGAGGGGAGCTCCTCCTGGCCATTGAAATCCAGTCGCTGCGTCTGTTGGGGAGCGAGGCGCGATCCTGCTCGAGGAATCGCTCCGCCCGCCCCCGCCCCCCCCCCCCCGCGGGCGGCGAGACGGAGATTGTTGTGCGGAGGCGCTTGTTGACAAAGCGGCTCCGCCCGGAAGTCGCTCTTAGGACGAGGCTCGAGGTGACACTTCGGGGCGTGTGGGGGATCAGGGGCGCCCTGACCCGGCCGCGGAGGGCGGGGTCGGCTTCGTGGCCCCAAGCTGCGCTGAGCGCCACGCGACATCCAGTTCAGAGGATGCGCGTAGTCGGCGAACGAGGTTCCCTTCCTGGAACGGCCTTCACTGCGCGCACGAGGGCGCCGCGGATCTGCGCTCCTCGCCTCTGGCGTTCCTGTCCCTTCCCTGAGTGGATGCCCGCGGGCTCCCTGGAGAAGGCGCTCAGCTGCCTGGTGGCCCTGCCCTCCTCTCCAGCTCTCGCTTAACCTATCCCGATTGCGCTCGGGGTGTCATTCTGGAAACCTCCCTCCGCGAGGATTCCCCTCCTCAGTCTCCTGAGAAAGAGGCAGCGGCCCCTCCTTTCCCACTCGCGCAGTTCCACAGCCGGGACGTCCCGGCAGTCTCTTCCCGATAGGATCAGCCTAGGAGCCTGGGCAAGGGCAGGCGTCGCTCCCACGCGCCCACGGCGGGGTCGGAACCGGCGGCGGGGGGAGCATCCGGAGCGCAGTCACTGGGAAGGGGAAGCGCGCCGCCTGGGCCCAGGAGCCATGAAGGAGCGTTCCTCCGGCCGTGCTTGCCAGCTCTGTGGCGGGAAGAACAGGTGGCCTTTCGGGGTCAGGCTGGTTTTCTTCCCAGCTAGATGAACGGGCGAGGGTGGCGGGAGCGAGCGGGAGATAAGGGGAAATGCTCGGAGTGTGTGAATAAAGTTTTTGACGCGGTTTCTGCGCCTTGTCTCTGTCCCGCGCAAGTGAGCCCGCGCGCGTATCCGAAAACCTGTTCAGTTTTTGATGAAAATACTGCAACTGCTGGGTGGGGATTAAGTTAAAACGCGATTAGTTTGAAACTTTCTGCCGGATTCGGTTATGGGATTTGCGGGAAAAAACAAACCGCACAGCGCCATCTTCAGGCGCATCGCGGAAAGGGCCCGCATCCTCCGCTCTGCCGCCCAGATCTGGTTCACAGTGAATCCGTTTTCCACCTGTTTCCAGAGCAGGATCCCGAGCACGGCCGCCTCTGGTACCGCCCAGAGCCCAGCTCCGCCCCGATCGGGAGGGAGGACGGCGCCTTCCCGGGCCTACCGCCTCGGCTGCTCCCCAAGCGGTCAGCGAGACAGTCCGAGGCGGGTGGGTGGAGGGGTCAGCGCGACGGACCGTGGGAAGGCGGCGAGCGGCGCTCTGCAGAGGCCGGGAGGGCGCGCGCGGCACCACGACTCAGCAGAACCTGCCGCATCCATATAAAATTCAGCAGCGGTCAGGTGTATCCGCGAATTTCACGAAATTGGAGAGCGCGGTAATAATCGGCCCAGGCCATGGCAAACTCGTGCGCGAGAAGCCGCGGGCTGGCATCAGGCCTCCCTCCGGGGCTGCCCTGGAGCCGCGCTCCTGGCAGTCCAGTCCGCTCGCTCCTCCTGCGGGTCCCGGCCGGTGCTCGCTGCCTCTGGTGAGGGTCGGCAGTGGCCGTGCAGGGCAGCTTTTCGCAAGCGGCCAGAAATTCCCTGGGCCCTGTCAAAATTAATTTCGGCACGCGACTCCGGGACCAGAAGGGCTGCCCATTCCAAAAGTTTTGCAAGCAGGCTGAAGAAGTGAGAGGAAAAGGAAGGGACGGGTCACCAGCTTTAGCGCCAACCCGATTTATGGCTGTATTTAATCGAGGAGATTCTTGACTTAAACGGTTATTAAACAAAGAGGTTAGTTTGTGGCAGAGAAGCGCAGAGGTGGGGCGAGGGAATCAAAGCCAGCCGAGGGGCCTGAGCAGCGCCGAGCTCCCTGCAAGGAAACCAAAACGCGGCCCTCCGCAGAAGGCAGGTGCGGCTCAGCTCGCCTCGCCCTCGCCCCGGCCACGGCGCTCTGCAGGCCCAAGCCACAAAAGGTGTCAGGCCTGAAACAGACGCGAAGTCACCTCCCGGGAAGAGCCATCTATGAAAAATAAAGACAGGAGGCGAGGGGGGTCCGGAAGCTCATCCGATTTTAAAGTTCTTCGTATGAAGGGACGGGATGAGGATGCCCGGCACCGGGAGGGTTCCAGGCATTCACCTCGCACGGGCCGGCGCAGCCCCCGCGCTCCGGCCGGATCCCTCGGGCACGAGCCGGGCACCTGAGCGGAAGCGCGGCTGGGACACCGCGGGGGCGCCCGCGCCGCAGAAGCCCTTCCGCCCGAGGCCGCCGACTCGCCTTCAGCAGCCGCCGCCCGCGGCTCGGCATGCGTCTCCCGCTCCAGGACGAGTCCCGCGGCCTGGGCGGCCTGGGGGTGGGCAGGGTCCCGATCCCAGGAGGCTGTGGCCCCCTCCTGTCCCGAGGCGCGCCAGCCGAGGCGGGTTTCGGCGGACCGCGAAAGCAGCTCGACACGAGCGCGCGTCGGCTTGCTCGGCTGCGCTGCGCTGCGCGGGGAGCGGCGGCGCAGTTTCGGTCCCGACCATTTTACTGGGCGGCCACAGGGATCCTCCGAGCACAGGCCTCCTAGATTTAAACAAATAATGGCGGCGGGGAAAGTATTTGCGCCCCCGCCACGCCACGCCCCGCGCAGACACGGCCCAGACGCGCGCCGCTCGGGAAGGCGCCCGCTCCCCCGCAAACAAAGCCGCGAGGAGCCGCCGCGCGTGTACCGGCAGGTGCTCGGCCCTCTTCCTCCCGCCTCAGGAACGGCTTCTCGGCCCGGCTCGCGCCCTCCCTCGCCAGCGAGGGTCCCGCGACCCTCCCCGCCGGCCCGGCCCGGCCCGGCCCCGGCCCCGGCCCCCGGCCCACGCGCCTGCATCGGCATGCTTGGGCTGGCGGGGCGGCGGACCTCCTCGCAGGGGCTCCGGCGCGGCGCGCGGGCGAATCCGAGAGTGGTGGGATCCATTGCCTTTGTCTGACAAGTCATCCATCTCTCTGCCCGGCAGCAGGGGGAGGGCGAGCGCGAGGAGGGAGGGCGAGCGCGAGGAGGGAGGGCGGAGGGAGGCGGGAGGGGTGGAGGTGTGTGTATGTGTAGGGGGGAGCCGGGGTGCAATCTGGAGGGGGCTTTGCCGCTTTTAGAGAGGCACGCACTGGCGGCGGCGGCTCCATTCTCCGGGCAAAGCTCGTGGCAAGCACATCCCACCGTGTGCAAAAAGGGAGGGGGAGGGAAAAGTCTGGACCGACCGGGAGGAGCTGCCGGGCTGCCTTCGCCCTCCGCCCAGGGAACCGGAGCGGCCGAGGCAGCGGCTGCCGGGAGGGAGCGCCGTCCGATCGCGCCCGGACTCGCTGCGGCACTTCGAACGAGGCAACTTGGCTGAGCTGACCTGCGGCGCGGGAGCGGGAGCAGGAGCAGGAGCAGGAGCGGGCGCGGGCGCGGGGCGCGTCGCCTTGCCTCGCCGGGCTGGCCCGAGGGCCCCGCCATGCGTCGCACCTGCCCGCGCTCGGCCAGCCGCTCGCGGGGACTCTGAGCGGGCGCCGCGCCGAAGCGAAGGTCCCGCCGCTCGCCGGCCCAGGACGGCGCGGAGGGCAAGGAGCGCAGCCAGCCAGCCGGCCAGCCGGCCAGTGGCGCGGGCGGGCGGGCGGGCGGCGGGCGGGCGGCCAGGGCACTCGCCGCGGCCGCCAGCCTCACCCCGGTGCGCCGGGCGCTCTCCTGCGATTCTTCCGCCTGATTCTCCCCCAAGTGCTGAAGTTGACTCTTCGCGGCGACACGGCGGCTTCAGCCGACTTCTTCCCCTTCCTCTGCCTCCCCATGGATATGCACTGCAAGGCAGACCCCTTCTCCGCGATGCACCGTGAGTACCGGCCGCAGCCCTCGCCTCGCCTCGCCTCCTCCCCGCGCCGGCCTCTCGCCGCTCTGCCGCACCTGAGCGCTCTCTCGGCTCCCATCTCTCCACCGCGCACACCCGGCGGCCGGAAGGCAGCGGGAGGAAGGCCGGTCGCCCCTTTCGGCCTCGCCTCCCTCCCTCCCTCTGGCGGGGACCCTCCAGAGAGGTCCCTCCTGCACCCAACTCGTGGGACCTGGAGAGCCGCCGGCCGCCCGGTCTGCAGACGGGAGGGCGGGAGGGAGGGCACGGGAGGCCCGCGCCGCGCCGTTCTGGGCGCAGAGCCCTTCCCGACAGTCGGCCAAAGCTCGAAGTACTTCTGAGGAGTTCCTTCCTGTAAAATTAAGAGTTACGGATTCAGAGAGACAGGACAAACCCTGCGCGATAGAATATAAAGCTTTGGCTCCCTGGAGCGGGCTTGTCACCCGGTTTCTGAAAGGAGCAAAAATATCCTCCGACAGGAGCGCGATTCGTTATTGTTTGTTTGCTTTGCTTTGAAATAAGGATGGCGAGGATTGTTCGATTGTTACCTTTGCAGAAGGTGAGTGGGGGCAAATCTCTCGTGTGGATTTTCGCCACCCTGGCCTTCACGTGAAGCAGAGGATGCCCGGCCCGTTCCTTCGCCTCCCTCGCTCGGAAAGGGGAACCCCAGACCCTGCCTCGCGCGGGTGCTTCATCGCCCCCAATTTGCACGCGCACGCACGCACGCGAGAAAGCAGTACGGGGTTTGCACTCTTAAATAAAACTAGGGCGAACTCCAGAATCACCGGAATTATGCAATAGGAGAGTCAGGAAATGAATAATTAAGACAGCCGGTAACTTTTGACATATTTCCCCTGAACTTCAGACTTTCTTAAATTTGAAGAAGTATATGGCCTCCTTATAAAACAAAAATTACACTTAATCTTGAAAATTTCACTTAATTAATCTGTTAGGACTTAAGCATACTTCCGGATAAAATAATATGGCCACAATTTACATTCGTTTGGAAATGTGTTATTTTCAAGCAGTTTCCCATGGATTTAAAAACGGGGGGGGGGGTGTATGCATAGGTTTCATGTCTCTCACAGGCCCTTAGCAAAAAAAGAAAGAAAGAGAGAAAAAGAAAAAGGAAAGCAAAGGAAAGCAAAGGAAAGCAAAGGAAAGCAAAGGAAGAAGAACGAACGAACGAACGAAAGAAAGCCTGACATGGTTCCAGCTGTAATGTAATTTAAACGTGTTTTAACAAACACAGTTCCAGATTACATAGCTGGGTAACCATTTAAAAATCAAGATAAGGCTTCTTTCTTTTCCACGAATATTTCCGAGCCGGCGCATTCCGCCTTCTTCAGCCGCCTCGTAACGTAAGGCCGGCCTCCTCGACAACCTGCGCCGCGTACAAAGGAAGCGAGAACAGAAACAAATACGGGATCTAAACCGCAACGAAGTGACTTCCAACTTGGAATGGGGTCGTTAGGAAGACGCAGGTGCAATAATTTGAATTATTAATTCTTTAATCTTTTCTGCATCTGTTGCCTTTTAATACTCTGTAATGCGAGTTATCAAAGGTGCTCTGAATTATTCAGGAATGAGGTGCTGGAGAAAATGCCTGCTTGTAACTTTAGAGGCAACATCTGCAAAAGGTGACCCAGACCAGGAAGAAAACAAGCAGATCCGCGGCGACGCAGGGCGGCATTCGGCGCCTCCCTCGCGGAGACGGGAGCGGGCCAGCCGCGCTTCTTCCCGGCCGCTCGCCCGCCGCGGCGCGGGCGCCTGCCTCCCCGGTCGCCCTTGCGCCGAAGCGGGCACGACGTCCGCCCGAGACGCCCGGCGCCGAGCAGCCTCCCTCGTGGCGGGGCTGCCGGAAGAGGCGAAAAACTCTATCTGCGAGCAGGGCCGGGATCGATCGCAGGGCACGGCGAGTTTGCCCGAAGTTCAGAGCCAATAAGTCAGTGTCACCGCGTGCGGAAGGGCTGCGGAGCCGCCGCGCCAAAGCACAAGCGGGTCATTTTTCAGCCAGCCGCGGAACCGGCGCAAGACCTCCTTCCTTCTCCCGCCCGAGCGCAGCAGGGCCGGCCCGCCGCGAGCCGGGGGTTCTCTCGGGAGACGCAGTCCCCCGGGACCGCATGACGGCCCGCCCGGCCCGGCCGAGCACGGAAGGGGCTCCAGCAGCCCCTGCTGCGGCAGCCGAGGCCGCCTGCGACGCGCGCGTTCGGCTTGGCGGGCGGCGGGCCGGGCCGGGCCGAGCCGCGAGAGCGGGGCCGGCAGCCCCGTCCGGTGGAGCGGCGGAGCGAAGGAGGCGAGACCGGCACCCGCGTGTCGGGGCCGGACAACAAGGACCGTGAAGGGCTCTGCAGAGCCTGGATTCAAACCCTCTCCTGAAGTTCCGGCCTCTCCTTCCCTTTTGCAAAATCAGAAACGAGCGACATTTTAATAATATTATTAAAATAGATTTAGCCGCATTTCAAAAGCTACTAATTGTGAAGGTTGTCTGGAGAGGCGAGGCGAGGCGAGGGGGATTTTCGCGATGCGGGAAACGGGCTCCTTAAAACCAGCCAAGGGACACGCGCAAGTGCTGCAGCTCCTTTCCCCGAAAATTATTCCGCACGATGAGCGGGGGGGGGGGGGCGTGCGGTTCCAGTCTGGCAGACACCGCGGAAAGGAAGGGGGTGCAGGACGCCAGGAAAGGCCGAGCCCGTCCTTTATTGTGTGCGGGAGAACCGCGGCCGGTGGCGCGATGCGACATGGCAGGGCCGCGCCGCGTGAGGGGAGGGGAGGGAGGGGGGGCGGCCGCGGCAGCCGAGCGGTCCCGCGGAGAAGCAGGGCTGCGCCTGTGCGATAGGACAGGGGCGAGCCCCCCGCACGGGGGCCCGGGAGAGGTAGCTCGGAACGAGGGGCGGCAGGGGGGCTCTCTCCGGCCCTTCCGCCCGGAGCCTCCGCGGGCGCAACCTCAGGCAGCGGCCCGGAGCGCCCGCTCGCCCGGCCGGGGCCCCGCGGGAGGAGTCCGTCCCCGCGGCCCACCCCGCCCGCCCTGCGGCCCCCAGGCGCCCGCCCGCCCGCGGGTCGCGCGGCCTGACCGCCCCGACTAACGTCGCCTTTCTCCCTGCCGCGTGCGTGGGCTTGTGCTTTTCTTCTCTCTCCCCAGCAGGGCACGGGGGCGTCAACCAGCTCGGGGGGGGTGTTTGTGAACGGCAGGCCCCTGCCTGATGTGGTGAGGCAAAGGATCGTGGAGCTGGCGCACCAGGGCGTGCGGCCCTGCGACATCTCCCGGCAGCTGCGGGTCAGCCACGGCTGCGTCAGCAAGATCCTCGGCAGGTGAGCCTGGGGAGGGCGAGGGCAGGCCGGGCCCTCTGCCCCGCCGAGACGCCGGCGGCCGCCCGCTGCGCAGCCCCGGCCCGGCGGGGGCTCGGAGAGGCCAGGCTCCGCGGCGCACCGACCCACCCGCCTGCTTTGCTTTGTTTTGTCTGGAACTATCTCAAAACAGGGACCTGCTGTGGGTTCGGAAAGAGGGGGACAAGCCAAACAAGCAGAGAAACAAACCGGGTGCAAGCCAATGTGCTGCGAGACCAGCCTGCGCGTCTCCCCTCCCCGCCTCCCAGCTAAGCCAGGCCGGGCCCTACTTTCTCTCCACGCCCAGGTCAGCAGGGACCAGCAGGCCGGCAGCTGCCTTCTGCCGAGGAGATGGGCCACCGCCGGCCTGCGGCAGAACTCAGCGCAGACGGGAGCGGGGAGACGAGGCGGCCAGCCCCGGTGCATGCGGTGGAGGGGCTGGGGGAGGGCACGGGGGCCGGCGGCCGCACCAGCCAACAGCCAAACCCCACTCGCCCCTCTTCGCAGAGCCCCCGGGACTTGGTGCACGGAGGAGGGCACGTAGCAAAGGCAGGCGCCCGCTTGTGCGGTTCCAGCAGGGAAGGGGGCCCGGGATCGGGCGCGGGGAGAGCCCCTGTCGTCCGCGGATGCTCCTCCCGCCCGTCGCTCCCCAGGGCTGAGCGTGGGAGTCCACTTACGCCCTCGGTCGGCCGCATGGGCAGCCGGGTGGGGGGCGGAGAGGAGGGGCCAGTCCGACCCAGGCCTGCCTGCGGTAGTCCTCCCCGCCTCTCCTGGCGGAACTAGGAGCGAAGCCCGATGCGAGGAAGAGGCCCGAGCACGTCCCCGAGAGGCCCGCCGACCCTTCGGGCACTCCGGGGGTCGACACCCCACGCGAGCGTCTCCACCTCCCCGGGTGAAGGGGCCAAATCACGTCCAAACCTTTCGGCGCGTGTTCGGGGCCGGGCGGGAGGGGGGAGCTCAGTCTTGCCCAGGCCTGGGGGCGCAGCTGAACCTCACTTTGCATTGGCAGGTACTACGAGACGGGGAGCATCAAGCCCGGAGTGATAGGAGGGTCCAAGCCGAAAGTGGCCACCCCCAAAGTAGTGGATAAAATCGCCGAATACAAGCGGCAGAACCCGACCATGTTCGCCTGGGAGATCCGGGACCGGCTGCTGGCCGAAGGCATCTGCGACAACGACACGGTGCCCAGCGTCTCCTCCATCAACCGGTAAGCCTTGGCAAGCGCGCCCCGCCCCGGGTCGCCTCTGCGGCCGGCCGCTCCGGCTCCAGCTCCGGCTCCGTCCGCCCGCGAAGCCCGCGCGAGGGGCGCGCAGAGCCCGGCTCGCCCGCCCCTCGCCCGCCCGAGGCCTCCCCTTCTCTCCCCGCGCTTTCTCGGGCGGAAGCGGCGGCTCGGCGCTGCCTGCTGGAGCGGCCCGCCCATGCCGTCCCGGCCCCAGGCCCTCCAGCGCCCCCCCTCGGGGCTCGCTGTGCCAGGCTTGCTAGGAACCGGGCTCGGGAGCCCACGAGGAAGGCAGCCTGGCTCCGCCCGGCCCCGGGCTAACTCCTGGGCGCCGCTAGCGTCGTCGGGCCGCCCGTGGGCGAGGAGACAAGCCCGCCCGTTTCCCTGCCGCCCTGGGAACGGTTAAAGCGCCTCCGGTCAGACGCCCCTCTGTCCCAAGGCGAGCAGCGCCGCGCACCGCCGAGCCATTGAAACGCCCGGTGGCGGTTTGTCCTAAACAGCCAGCCTTGACTCGCGCCCCGCGCCCCGCCGCCCTTCCCTCGCCTCCGGGCGATGCAGCTTCCTCCTGGAGGAAGACGGAGAGTCCACACCTGAGCGAGCCCCTCAGGCCCCGGAGCAGCTTGTGCGAAAGCCCTCGCCTGGGGTCAAGGGTTGCAAAGAGGGGGTGCCTGTGCATGGGATGGCTTACTTGCAAGGAGGCGGTTTTAGATTCGGAGCTGTCTAGACTTGAGGAAGACGAAAGGCTTAGGGAGCCTGCGCCGCCCCTTCCCTGCTTTCCCATCTGCCCAAGTTTCTGGATGCAGGAGGTCCAAATGTCTAGAAATGCATAACAGGCCGCGGCAGTGCTGCTTTCTCCAGCGATGGCTCCCAGGGGGTGCGGTGCTTCTGCCTATTTATCTAACCAGATGCGCGCGGCTGTGCGCGCACACGCGCACACAACAACGATTTCATAGATGGGATGCATGTGTTGACACAACCCTGCGTTAGAGCCACCCGGATGGCAATGCAGATCTGTGCCGTTCGCACACCGACGCGCCGAGAAGCACAAATGTGGGCGGAAGCAGAGACCCCCCCCCTCCGCCCCACGGGCTATCCCGGGTGCTGATGCGGGAAGGGAGCGAGGCCGTGGCGTGACGTGCGGACTGTGTCGGGCGGGCATAGAATTAGCTGCGCTCCGCGATGGAAGCCGGCAGCGAACTGAGACGTGTAACACAAGCACATATGAACCTGAGATGCCACTATCTGCAAACTGGCTAACGCAAGCCACTTCTGCAGATTTAAAGATTTAGCCGTTTTCAGAGCTGCCGGTCCTTGGGCTGCCTGCAGGGAACAAAACCTCGGCAGGTGAAACGCCTCCCGTGCAGCCTTGTGGAATCAGCCAGCTGCGAAGCAAGCGCGTTTTGCGCCCCAAGCAGCAAGTGCCAAAGTGCAAGGTAATAGAGGACGAGGGCCCACAGAGGCGCCTGCGGGGCGTGGGGGGCAGAGCAGGCGGCAGTCCCCCCCCCCCACCGCTGCTTGCCTAAATACTTCATTGTGCCGCCTTCCGTCTTCAAGAAGCACTTTGCAAACAATGCTTTTGTTAATCCGTTTGGCTCCCGGGGAAAATTTTTCCAAATTCTAACAGCTAGAAGGCATTTTTCCAACCTGCATCTTGTGTCAATTGTACATAATATTTTTGGAAATGATATGGAATTATCCCAGCTCATCTCCAAACAGCAGGTAAAATTAGCAAGGAGAATGTACCTTGCTAAAAATGACTCCCCTCCCCTGCATCTCTTTGTAATATCCTGCTAGACTATCCTAGAAAATTATCCCTGTGTGTACCATCTGTATTAAACCGGTTATTAAGTTATGAATAGAGTAACATAATACTGATCGGCTAATTAGATGCACTCCTAAAAAAATACCCAGATTCTGCGGTCTTGGTTAGGTACTGCAATAATATCAGATCAACATGTGGGCTCCTACGGAGGCAGCTGTGGAAGGGGAGCTCCGGAGGGGAGGCATCCGTGCCCCAAAAGTGCAAGCAGAGAGTTTTATTTCAGAAGGAACAGGCTGTTCTTTCGCTGGCATAGAAAAGCTGTTGTTGGCAGCTCAAGATGACACCATCAGGCACTCATCCTGGGGGGCGTGCGGGGGGGGGTCATTGTCTTTGGGAAAGCGGCAGGTGATCCCCATGACCAGCGAGACTGATGCCCCGATCTGCCCTTGCCAGGAGCCCATTCAGGGGCATAGCAAGTTCCGTTCCGTCAGGCAGGCAGCCCCACCGCGGAGCTGAAGGTTGCTGCCCTTTTTATCAACGCATGTGGTCTTCTGCCGTGGCCAGTTTTATGGATCAGGGCGCCGCGTTTCGCCCACTGGTGGCTGCGTCAAGAGGAAAGCTCTGTGCTCTCTGGCTTGTTACTAGTTTTGTTGCTGTTGTTGTTCAGTTGCTCTTTGTGACCCCATGGACAACCTTCCAGGTTTTCCTGCCCTCCACCATCCCCCGGAGTCCACCCAAGCCCACTCCCACCACCCCAGTGGCCCCATCCAGCCACCTCAGTCTCTGCCGTCCCTTTCTCCTTTCGGTGTCAGTCGTTCCCAGCATCAGGGTCTTCTCCAGTGAGTTGTTCCTTCTCATTAGGTGGCCAAAGTACTTGAGCTTCAGCTTCAGGATCTGTCCTAAAGAGCAGTCAGGGTTGATCTCCTTTGTTACTAGTTTACTCTCAATTATTGACAAGATGGCAGTTCGGCAGAGTAGGAAGGCCCTTCCATGGGCAACTGACACAGCCAGCATTAGAGGCCTGGGATCCTTGCATGTGTATAGGCCCCGGCTGTCAGCCTGAGAATCGGGTACCCCTGGGGTGCACTGGGTCCCCCTTCACTGGGGAGACCTTGATTTGTCTGCCTGTTGCACAATCTACCCAGATATGGAGTTCAGCGGGTTAACATAATAGATAATCCTAGATAGATAAATAGATAAATAACATGAGCAGCGCTTATAGATAAATAGATAAATAACACCAGCAGCGCTTTGTCACTAACAGAGACGACACTCTTGGCCAGTGGTCTGAAGAAATTGTATAAACATTATCCTGAATAGATATTAACCCTCTCAAAACTCAACTTTAGGGAAGATGGCCTTTTCATTCTGGTAATAATTAAAAACTAACTTGGTACAAATTGTTAAAATGCCACAGTCTCTCTTTCTCCCTCTCCCCCTCTTTCCTTCCCCTCCTTGCTTTCATTTGTCTGGGAATTGTTTCCTGGAATCTGAGGCATGTAAGAAATGATTCTGTTTAGAGCAATGACTGAAAAAAGTGAGGAACCCTGTTGAGAATACACAACGAAGTCATTAGACACCCCCAAAACCCTGATGCTTCTTCCTCAGAATACAGTTTTCTTCCATTAGGTTCTGAGCCAAGAGAGGAAAGAGGAAAACGAAGGTTAGGTTAGGCTTAAAATCCAAGTCAAGGTGGTCCGCTGGTGCTGACAAATATTGCGAGGGTTGCACGGATTATCTTGTGCCTGGGATGCATCTGACAATCATGCCCCATCGCTCTTCTCATTGTGCGACTGTTCCCTGCAAATTCAGGTTTCCCCTCCTATGAACCGATTTGTTGTGCGATGCGCCCATCGCCTCTGGAAGAGGAGGACTTTCCTCTCGTATTTTAAAGTAGCATTAAATTTGCAGGCCCCACACCGGGGGATGAGCTCTCAGTGGCACGTTTCAGGCCCAGTGACTTGAAACTATGAAAGTGCGAGGTGACTAGGGAAAGCAGAGAATTGCCGCGTCTTTCATGGAGGAGCCCATGAGGCCTCGGTCCTTAGACTGCAGCTTCCTGGTTGCTGGCAGTGAGTGCAGTTAAGAGCAGCTAGAACTGGATTTTTTCTCTCTTCCCTTTCAAAGGTCTGGGCAATCAAACCTTGTATAGCAAAATGCTTATCTTTCCAAGTTTGGAAGCACTGTAAATAATCACAAATTAATGTTAAGATTACTTTAACCCTCTGTTTTAATAGAGGGAATATTTAGAGGTTCAGCTTTACATTGTACAGCAAAAATGACTTTGTCTTCCTTTGGCTCACCCCTCCACCTTCTCTTCTATCTCACTCCCACACAAATCGGAGATCGCTCAGGTTGCTTTCTGCACGGCATTGCTGTTTGCCTACATTATACTTTTACTGCAGATCAGTGCTAAAAACCTCTGGAGAGGTGTTCTGTTTTTCTGTGCGCACACCTCTTTTTCTGCTTTCTTGTAACTCTTGAAAGGGGTGAAATATAAATTTTAAGACAAACAAATAAGTTCCTGTGGAAGCTCTGTCAGTCAAAATCTGGCTGTTTTGCTTGGAAGAATAGTGAGGCACCTTGGTATCGATTATCCTAATATCTGAATGGGAGTGTTTAGAAAACATGGATATCTCAGGTTGGAAAGTAGCTACTGTTAAAAGCTTTCTCATCCAACCTTTTTAGCCATCAGAGAGACTGATGACCTAGACATGTAACTGAAGATGTGGCTTTCACATGGTCCTTCACTATACCTGAAGAGGGATCAGTTGTTTGAAATGGGCCACTGCCCGTGAACAAGTAGCAAACCAGTGCCTGGAGCTGAATCGATAAGTAAACCAGGTTTGGGTGGATAACAGTGAGAGAAGGCAGATCGCAGCGCATGCTTATACAGGCAGCATGACATCCATCAGCAAAATAGGTGAACAGAAAGTCCAAGATGGACCGCGTTTCTATAGACCGGGAACAAGGTGATGGAAAGGGCGGCCACCGTCAGCATTTTAGGCGGGCGGCACTTCCTCGTTCCCACCACTTCTTTCTGGGATTTCAGCACTGCCAGAGCGGGCTGGCTGGTTTCCGGCTGCTGTCGGTCCTGCAAGTTGATTTCAGCTGGGCTCCCTTCCACATCGGTTCATGAGGCTCCGTCGTGGGACCCGTGTGGAATCCCCACACCACCTCCTGCTGCCCCATTTACCTTTGGTCTGGCAGTGCCCAGCCATTTTCA